GCTTCCTTAATGGCCTGCTAAAAGACAGGTGACAGGAAGACGGATAGAGATAATCTTCCAGGCTTCTCTGCTTGCACGGCCCACTTTCATTAACAGCATTAATTAGCCTATAATACACTGCGTGGAAAGCATCAACCTCCCCCATTCCTAAGCAGGGCGAGTGGAGCAGCTAACCTGATAGCTGTCAAGAAACGTAATATTACACCATTAGCAGAAAGCGATTGTCCACTTTGCTTCCGGAAGAGACTCCCACAGTTCTTAAGACACAACTTTGCTATTCTTCCCCAATGCACATTGGAGGCCATAATTACAAAGAACATCCAAGGCAGGTAGATGCATTTAAATGGGGACTTGTGGGCAACATTTAACAATTGAGGAAAAAAGAGGGAGAATTGCAAAACGGTGCAACTCTCCAGAAAAGCCTTCAATCAACATTGCGATGTGCTGCCTGCACAACCACTTACCATTTATAGCCAGATTAGTATTTTAGTGGGGCAGTTTGATTGAGCTTAATCTGTTTTTCTACAATCAACAGATTAAGGGGTGGATATAAAAATACGGTGGGGGGAAGGAAGCTGCAACAGAAGGTTGCAGTATGGAAGGCTCCTGTCCAGGGTTCTTATTCCGACCTCCTCCCTTCAGAGCTTTTCCTCTTCTGACATGTCCCAACCACAGACGCTGTTACATTGGCTCCCAGTACATTTCTGAGCACAATTCAAAGGTGCTGACCTTTAAAGCCCCAAACAGCCTTGGTCCAGTATACCTAAAGGAGCTGTTTCCTCACTGCGAGAAGTGAGGTTGCAGGGAACCAGGCAGAGGGCCTTCTCGGTGGTGGCGCCCACCCTGTGGAATGCCCTCCCATCAGACATCAAGGAAATAAACAACTATCTGACTTTTAGAAGACATCTGTAGGCAACCCTGTTTAGTGAAGTTTTTTTTTAATGTCTAGGTAAAGGTAAAGGTCTCCTGCCAACCTAGCAGTTCGAAAGCACGTCAAAGTGCAAGTAGATAAATAGGTACCGCTCCAGCAGGAAGGTAAACAGCGTTTCCATGAGCTGCTCTGGTTCACCAGAAGCAGCTTAGTCATGCTGGCCACATGACCCAGAAGCTGTAGGCCGGCTCCCTCGGCCAAGCGAGATGAGCGCCACAACCTCAGAGTCGGTCACGACTGAACCTAATGGTCAGGGGTCCCTTTACCTTTACCTTTAAAGGTAAAGGTACCCCTGACTATTAGGTCCAGTCACGGATGACTCTGGAACGTTATTGGCTGTGGTATTATCTCAGCTAAGAAGGCAGCAGAAACTTCACTATAGGAATTTGAAATGAATAAGAGGAACAAAACCAACAGCAACAGCCATGAAAGAAAAAGAAGGCGCAAAACCAAAAGAAGCTGTAAAATTATGGTCTGGCCATGATTACAGAAGCTGACGGACAAGGCGCTAATGATTCTCTGACTGCTGTGTCCAAAGCGAGCTTGAGAGTCGCAGGTTGGGAAATAACGAGATGCGCTTTTCTGCATTGCTAATCATTAAGAATGTTTGTTTGGTTCAACTTTGATGAAAACCCACCTTTTCTTTTCAACAGAAGTGGCTGTCTCTCGCCTACCTTCCACCTGCAGGGTGCAGAGTTAGTGTGTACGATTCTGGTCGCCTCACCTCAAAAAGGATATTGCAGAGTTGGAAAACGTTTAGCAAAAGGGAGACCAAACCCCCATCGTTCAACCCGGACAGTGAGGTCCAGTGCTGAGGGCCTTCTGGCGGTTCCCTCATTGCAAGAAGTGAGGTTACAGGGAACCAGACAGAAGGCCTTCTTGGTAGTGGTACCCACCCTGTGGAACGCCCTCCCTTCAGATGTGAAGGAAATAAGCAGCTATCTTATCTTTAAAAGACATCTGAAGGTAGCCCTGTTTAGGGAAGTGTTTACTTTTTAATGCTGTATTGTTTTTAACACTCTATTGGGAGCAGCCAGATGGGCGGGGTATAAATAAATAAATTATTATTATTATTATTATTATTATTATTATTATTACAGTGGTACCTTGGGTTACATAGACTTCAGGTTACAGACACTTCAGGTTACAGACACTTCAGGTTACAGGCTCCGCTAATCCAGAAATATTACCTCAGGTTAAGAACTTTGCTTCAGGATGAGAACAGAAATCATGCAGCGGTGGCGCAGCGGCAGCAGGAGGCCCCATTAGCTAAAGTGGTGCTTCAGGTTAAGAACAGTTTCAGGTTAAGAACAGACCTCCGGAACGAATTAAGTACTTAACCTGAGGTACCACTGTATTATTAAAACGATCAACTCTGCTATGGAGAAAGGTTGCAGTGTCAGGGAGTTTTTAGATTAGAGAAAAGGTGTGTTAGAAGGTTCATCCAATGAAGCTGGATGTTGGCAGATTTGGGAGAGGCAAAGGAAAGTTCCTCTTTACAAAGCACACAGTTAAACTGCGGAACTCTCTCCTGCAGCAGGCAGTGAACCACCAATCAAGACAACTTCAAAAGAGGATTAGATCCATGAGTACCAACCACAACAGCTATGTTCTGCCCTCCGCAATTGGAGGCAGCAAGATCTCAGGGCTGTTCACAGTCCTGCAAAGCAGGGGGTTGGACTAGATGTCCTTTGGAGTCCTTTCCAACTTTGCAATGCTATGATTCCATGTTCTTAGAGCAAAACAGAAAAAGTGGTGCTGGCTCCCAGCTGCGGGAACGGTTTATTATTATTATTATTATTATTATTATTATTTAAATATACCCCGCCCATCTGGCTGGGTCTCCCCAGCCACCCTGGGTGGCTTCCAACAAAGTATTAAAACTGTTAAACATTAAAAGCTTCCCTGAACAGGGCTGCCTTCAGATGTCTTCTAAATGTCTGGTAGTTGTTGTTCTCTTTGACATCTGGTGGGAGGGCGTTCCACAGGGCAGGTGCCACCACCGAGAAGGTCCTCTGCCTGATTCCCTGTAACTTGGCTTCTCGCAGTGAGGGAACCGCCAGAAGGCCCTCAGCGCTGGACCTCAGTGTCCGGGCAGAACGATGGAGGTGGAGACGCTCCTTCAGGTATACTGGACCGAGGCCGTTTAGGGCTTTAAAGGTCAGCACCAACACTTTGAATCTCTTATAGGAACAGTCTCTTATAGGAACCCTGCCCCCTTTGCAAGCAGAGATTCCCAAAGCTCTTGCTTCTTCCGTCCCTTATCCTGGTGACGCTCCTTTGCAAACGGTGGCCGAATATGCACCCTGTGTCCAAAGGGCACAGAACAACTTTTGACGTGGCTCGGAACCAAAACGCAACAGGTTTCTGGAGTCGCCGACTCCCTGTGATCCTCCCCCCGCACCTCCCTGCGAACAGTGAGGAAAAGCAATCTGAGCTTATCATTACACACAAGGGGATTCCTGTTGCAATATTCTCCACTCCTCTGTTCCTTTCTTTCTGTCTTTGGTGCAATGCAGTCTTTGTTGCTCAGGCTGCTTAGTTCAATGAAACCTTAAGGGTGTTTAATGGGAAGATAAAGGAGAGTAGAAAGGCGGGGGGGGGCAGGGTGTTAAAAGGGAGCCGAATGCTGTAGATTAGAACAAGCAGGGCAGGGCAGGAAAAAATGCACACCTGGCCCAGGAGCCAAAGATGATGTGATACACCAGCGCTTCCTATAATCATATCACATCCACGTAATGTTTTCTTTCCAGAGTGGAATCATTAAGTGATATTTTAAATAGGGTAGGATAAAAAAAACCAGCAGCCGTGCACAGAGGTTTAGTAATGGCAGGAGGCCAGACAGAGAGGCACCGCTGAACATTAAAAAAAGCCTTCTGGATGAGGCCTCATCCAGCATCCTGTACTCACAGTGGCCAACCAAATGCCTGTGGGAAACCTGTAATCAGGATTCGAGCCCTCCCCGTTTGGCTTCCAGCAACTAGCCTTTAGATTGTCAAGGCAATAGACAACTATCTGACTTTTAGAAGACATCTGAAGGCAGCCCTATTTAGGGAAGTTTTTAATGCCTATGTAAAGGTACCCCTGACCGTTCGGTCCAGTTGCGGACGACTCTGGGGTTGCGGCGCTCATCTCACTTTATTGGCCAAGGGAGCTGACGTTTGTCCACAGACAGCTTCCGGGTCATGTGGCCAGCATGACTTAAGCAGCTTCTGTTGAACCAGAGCAGCACACGGAAACGCTGTTTACCTTCCTGCCGGAGCGGTACCTATTTATCTACTTGCACCTTGACGTGCTTTCGAACTGCTAGGTAGGCAGGAGCTGGGACCGAACAACGGGAGCCCACCCCGTCACAGGGATTCGAACCACCGACCGCCGACCTTCTGGTCAGCAAGCCCTAGGTTCTGTGGTTTAGACCATAGCGCCACCCGACTCTAATGTCTCCTTCTAGCAACTGGCCTTTAGATTGTTGCCTCCCAACTGTAGAGGCAGAACAAAAGCCGCCATAGCTGGCAGCCGTCAACAGTCCCCTCCTCCCTGATTTGGCTCTCACGGCCTCCGGTGGGAGGGAGTTCCACAGATCATGTGCTGCTTAAAGAAGAACTTTTATCAGTCCCGAATCTCCCAACATTCTGCTTCACTGGATGACCACAAGCAAAAGAAAGTCTTGGAACAACTTGCACTGGAAGAGGCGGCATCCGGGAAAACAGATGTTGTAACTGACTCTGAAAATGGCAAAAGGATTTAGTTATACAAGATCTAGGTTTCAAACGGAAGTGATTGAAGGGAAAGTGAAATTACTGAAGGCCACATACAGCATACTATTAGAATGGGAGACAAAAGATGAAGAGGTAAAATCAGTTATGATTAAATGGGCACAAGATGTAGGTCACAACATTATGATGGAAGATTGGGAAAAATTATGGAAAACTGATTTAAAATTTACAGATTGTTCCCTATTGAAGGAGAACTACATGAAGATGATGTACAGATGGTACACAACACCAGTGCAGTTAGGGAAAATGTACAAAACTAGTTCAAATATATGTTGGAAGTGTAAGGAAAAGGAGGGGACATTTTATCATATGTGGTGGGATTGTAAGGTAATTAAAAAAATTTGGGAAATGATATACAACGAATTGAAGAAAATGTTCCATTTAACATTTGTTTAAAAAAACCTGAAGCATTTTTATTAGGGATTGTAGGGAAAGATCTGCCAAAAAAGCTGGAAAACATCTTCATGTATGCAACAACGGCCACGAGAGTTTTAATGGCGCAAGGATGGAAGACTGAAGAAACCCCCACTAAAGAATCATGGCAAGAAAAATTGATGGACTGTGCAGAACTGGCAAAACTGACATACAAGCTACGGGACAAGGATAACTGTGACTTTAAAGATGAATGGGAACCCTTTACAAAGTATCTGAAGACACAACAAAGCGAACTGGACTCCTTGGCTGGTTTTTAATAAACATTCACAAACTTTTTATTGATAACAATCAGCTAAATAGTTTGAGGATCTATACAACTGTGTAACATGCAGAAAGCAGCATTTTTAGAGAAATCAAAGACTGGAACTGAGGGAAGTCGGGGGTGAGGGTGGGTGGGTTTTGTGGGGGAAGGGAGGGGGAGGGAGGAAAAATGGGGGGGAAATAAGGATGATATGTTTCTGGACAATATGTTTTGTTTTAATTTTGAATAAAAAAGTTATTAAAAAAAACCCAAGTCTGAGTGTTATGAGAGAGGGAGAAAAAAACTTTTCTCTATCCGCTGTCTCCATTCCATGCATTCAAGCTTTTTAGTCACCCCATGTCCACAGCTGTCAGGAGTCTAGGTTCCCGGCTTGATAACACGGTAAGCGTAGGTAATTAAAAAGGAGGATTTATTGCAAAAACAAATAGATAGCTTCGGACGGCTCTGACAAAGCCTCCAGCATCATTACTCAAGATGACCATTCTGAAGACCCCTTCCGGCCATGACAGAAGAAAATGATCTTCCGACTCTTACGTCTCTTGTTTTGATTCCTGTCTAACAGCCCTCCCATTTACCCACTCTTAGGACTGAGTGGATCAGCTCCAACATGTTCCTGTGAGCTTTGGCTGTGTTCCCGCCTGCTCTCATCTACTGCCTTATCAGCCAATTCGTCAAGGTCAGGAAGAGCCGAAGACTGCAGCTGCCGGCTCTCTCCTATCTGACTAACATCTAAGTCTCTCTGTTCCTGGCTGCTTTCTGCAACTGGCTGCAAATCTTCGCTGGGAGCTGGCTCATTCCTGACAACAGCCTACCACAGTAAAGCACATTCAGCTATGGAAACAGGGTTGGCAGAGTGGGAAGGCTAAAAGCAGGGGGAGGAGCGGGGTTCTGATCTTGGAAAGCCAGGCTTGGTAAACCTTTGCCCCGACCTAGCACAGTTCCTGTATTCTTATCCCCAAGGTAGGGAGTAGGGTAGGGCAGAACAAAGGCATGTGCATTGAATCAATTGATAAATTATTCCCATATTGCAGATGGGAGGCTGACATTGACCACAACCTCTGGGCTCAATATTGAGAGTTGAACCAGGGACCCCCTGCCACTCTTAGCCACAATGCTGACTCGTAATTCACTTTATTGATGACTCCCGTGTACAAACTTTTGACAACAGTTATAGAATTGGCAAAAATGCAAGAAAAATCATTGCCTAACGGAAATAGTCTCATTGAGATTTCTGCATTTCAGGGGGTTGGACTAGATGACTCTGGGGTCCCCTCCCAACTCTACAATTCTACGATCAAACAAGAAATTATTAGGCTGAATTCGCTGGCTCTGTTTCCACAGGTTATGCAAATATAGGACATCCGTGGAGATTGGTGCAGATACATACATACATACATACATACCATCTCCAATTATACCAATGAGAACCCTCCACACTTAGACACTGTTATGTACTGAGTTGAATAGGATCCAAACTGCAGCAGTCTGATTGGTCCTAGAACAATAGGCCCCAAAATGCAGCAGTATGATTGGTTGGCAGGAACCACCCAATCATGCTCCAGATAGAAGTGAATCCACAACCTGATTGGCTTACAGTAGAATTCCGGAATTAGTCAATCATGTGCAGCCCATTGTGTAAATAATATATAAAGCAAATACTTTGAGGGAACTTTCATTCATTCCTCCTCACCACTATGAGCTGAATAAAGAGCATGAAATCACTTTGCGACTCTGAGTATATTTCAGACACACACAAAAAACCCAGCAAACAAACTCCAAGGAACTCAGAATGAAATTGTTTTGAGTAGGACTCGGTCAAAAGGTGGTTCGGCTGTAACTCAATTGCACGTTTGTGTTTATCTCGCTGCAAAACATTTGTGTTCTCTTTATGCTCTGCTGAGGCAATTAATTCCTGCAGGAAAGAGGACAAATTAAGAGGGGACAGCTGCAGAAATGGAAAACAGCAGAGCAGAAAGGAAAGGGAATCAGTGGAAAGGGGCAAGAAACAGCCTCGCGAGGGAGACCAGGCTCCCTCTGGCCTGCAGATTTAGTAGCCATAGAGATCACCCGCCTTCCTGTTTCCGGAGAGGGGGGCCAGAAAATGAGCAAAGTACATTGTGAACCAGCATAAACATTTCTTCCCCCTTCTAAGCATAGGGGCAACAGTCCCCAATTAATTTCATTTCGTTGTTTATTTTGTCGTTTAGTCGATGAGTTGTGTCCATCTCTTCGTGACCCCATGGACCAGAGCATGCCAGGCACTCCTGTCTTCCACTGCCTCCCACAGTTTGGTCAAACTCATGCTGGTAGCTTCGAGAACACTGTCCCACCATCTCGTCCTCTGTCGTCCCCTTCTCCTTGTGCCCTCCATCTTTCCCAACATCAGGGTCTTTTCCAGGGAGTCTTCTCTTCTCATGAGGTGGCCAAAGTATTGGAGCCTCAGCTTCAGGATCTGTCCTTCCAGTGAGCACTCAGGGCTGATTTCCTTCAGAATGGAGAGGTTTGATCTTCTTGCAGTCCATGGGACTCTCAAGAGTCTCCTCCAGCACCATAATTCAAAAGCATCCATTCTTCGGCGATCAGCCTTCTTTATGGTCCAGCTCTCACTTCCATACATCACTACTAGGAAAACCATAGATTTAACTATACGGACCTTTGTCGGCAAGGTGATGTCTCTGCTTTTTAAGATGCTGTCTAGGTTTGTCATAGCCTTTCTCCCAAGAAGTAGGTGTCTTTTAATTTCGTGACTGCAGTGATCATGGAACCCAAGAAAGTAAAATCTTAGGATGTAGTTTATTTATAGAAAAAGTAAAGGGACCCCTGACCATTTGGTCCAGTCGTGGCCGACTCTGGGGTTGCGGCGCTCATCTTGCTTTATTGGCCGAGGGAACCGGCGTACAGCTTCCGGGTCATGTGGCCAGCATGACTAAGCCACTTCTGGTGAACCAGAGCAGCGCACGGAAACACCGTTTACCTTCCCGCCGGAGTGGTACCTATTTATCTACTTGCACTTTGACGTGCTTTCAAACTGCTAAGTTGGCAGGAGCAGGGACCGAGCAACGGGAGCTCACCCCATCATAGGGATTCGAACCACCTACCTTCTGACTGGCAAGCCCTAGGCTCTGTGGTTTAACTCACAGCGCCACCCCTAATCCATCATCATCATCATCATCATCATTTTATTTGTATGCCGCCTTTCCATAGTGAAAACGATGCTCAAGGTGGCTTACAATGTGACAAGATTTACATAATTACAAACATAACAAAGGTCATAAACAATAAATAAAGCACATCAAAAGGTACACAACCAAATGGAAAACAATTTCCACATAAATAATAAAACCTAAAACTAAGAATATGGCATTAATATCAATCACAATTTAAAATGACATGGATAAAAATAAAAGCAATTTTTAAATATGGAGCCCTCTCTGCCCAGCAGCAGCAGCAGCAGTAGTCCTTTATGGAACTTGGTCCTGCCCCAGGCCAGGTGGATGTCAGTGCACCTTTTAACCGATGTCAGCGACTGGGCTCAATAACTGGTTCTGCCTGGACTGGACTAGGCAACTGGAGCAGTTTCGGAGACCTTCCAATCCTGGAAAGCAGGTCCCAGTGCATTGGACCCACAACTGTGCATTGTGAGCACCAGACTCAGCAGAGTATAAATACCGCAGAAGCTAGCTGTGAAGCATAACTCCTTTTATTTCTAATAGCTACTAAAAACTAGAAGGGACGCGGGTGGCGCTGTGGGTTAAACCACAGAGCCTAGGACTTGCCGATCAGAAGGTTGGCGGTTCAAATCCCTGCGACGGGGTGAGCTCCCATTGTTCGGTCCCTGCTCCTGCCAACCTAGCAGTTCGAAAGCACACCCGTGCAAGTAGATAATTAGGTACCGCTCCGGCGGGAAGGTAAACGGTGTTTCCATGCGCTGCTCTGGTTCGCCAGAAGCGGCTTAGTCATGCTGGGCCCATGACCCGGAAGCTGTACGCCGGCTCCCTTGGCCAATAAAGTGAGATGAGCGCTGCAACCCCAGAGTCGGCCACGACTGGACCTAATGGTCAGGGGTCCTTTTACTACAAACTAACAAACTACTGGCTTGCATGAATGTTACAGCTCCCACTCAGCCATCTAGTCACTACATAGATAAGACTCTCTCCACACACAGAGTCAGGCAGTCAGACAGGAGTGAAAGAGTAGAAGAGCAGTTTCCACCCCCTCCTTTCTCAAAACATCAGATCAGGAGATTCTGTCAATGGGAGGGGTGAAAATATCAACAGTGGAGAGAAGCAGGATAGGGCCCTCAGGCTCCCGGCAGGTCAGTCCTGGGCAGCAGCAGGGTGAGCCAGAGTTGTGCTCTCTCCTGATGTTTCTGAACCTCTGGCCCACCCACTTTCACCTCTTGCTATGCCCAGCGCATGGACCCCAAGAGGTTCCCTCTAAGAAAATATGGCCCTTTGTATGTAGAAGGGGAAACCAGGGGGAGTCCTTACCCTCTTCTTAACATCTTCAGCGAAACAACTCCTCATGAAGCTTACAGAGAAGCCTTGAAAGTTAGGCTAGCATCAAGCTAGTATACCGATTCAGTGCATCAAAGGACCAGAAGCTCACCTGTGGGAAGGGTCAGGATAAGCCCCTCCTATATCCTTGGGGTACCAAGTGGTTTGAGGACCCAAGTACTGAGGAAAAGATGGAGGGTGGCAGGGAGTGCTTCCTATACGCTAACAAAAAGGGCTGAAGATTACCAGCGGGAAGGAGTGGCTAAAGGTTGTTAAAACAGACTGACTAATCTCTGTTAAGGGATCCTGAGTTCATCTCCCACAACGGTCAGTCTGCTCTTATTCCAGTATCCCAGAGACTGAGGCTCTTGGGAAGGGGCATTGTGACATCACGGGGAGGGCCATTGTGACGTCATGGGGTTGCCTACCCTTTCTCCAGCATGTCAGAGCCTGAGACGCTTGGGAAGGAGCATTGTGATGTCATTGAGTGGGCCGTTGTGATGTCATGGGGCTGCCAACTCCTGAACATCTGGAAAATAATCCAAATCCAAACTCTGCAGAATAAATCATGCGAAACAGGAAAATCACACAGTTGTGCTTATTCAGGATGCAGAATCCGACTTCTCTTAATGCAGAATTTAGACTGATCGCCTGAATGAGGTTTTGTTTTGTTTTGGGGTTTTTATTGCCAAAATATACACACTGGCAGTGGAACGGGGGGTGGAGAGAGCGCATCGCCCCCAGCACCATGCCCCCGTGGGCAGCATGCCACACCCCCAGAATGAACACCATGCCCCTGGGGTGCGGGCCAGCCACGCCCCCGCCTGCTCTCCGCCCCCAGGGCCGGAGCATGCAGCTTTGCCACTGGATATACACCCTGCCCCAGACCCTCCCAGTGTCCCTGTTTTCCAGGGACGTCCCAGATTCACAGAAGCCCTCCCGGTTTCTGATTTGATCCCAGAATGTCCCGCTTTTCCTTAGGACGTCCCTATTTTCACCGAAGAAACGTTGGAGGGTATGGTAGGATGTGCCCTTTTTCACTGGAGAAATACTGGAGGATATGGAGTCGTCCAACCGCCAAGCCATTTAAAGGGAAGTTTTTCAATGTTTACTGTTTTATTATGTTGTTGGGAGGTGCCCAGAGTGGCTGGGGCAATCTAATCAGATGGGGGGGGTTATAAATACTAATATTATTATTATTACGGATTAGGACGTCCCTATTTGTATCGGAGAAATGTTGGCGGGTTGCATAGTCCTGGGTTCCATCCCATCTTATTTCCAGGGCTTTTTTATTGTTGCACACAAATGCTTCCAAGACACCTATAGTTTCTGGCTCTCTGCCGTCTGTCCTAATGAGGCAGAGATGGCTCCTGCTTCCCACCCGTCCACCCCCATCAGCCAAGACACTTGTTGCAAGCAATTTGGAGTCAATTGGATGAAAAGGAATAAATAGGTGGCTGTAGCAGTTTGTGGATGGCTGACTCGAGGCCACAGGCAATGATTAGAAGGCTTTTCAGGCCCACAGCAAGGAAGGGACTTAAATTTGTCACAGTTTAGCTCCAGAAAGCGGGTGAATGTGCTGGAGGCTCGGCTACCTCTCGCGCAGCCTCTTGTATTCCCTCAGGAGAAAAGAGAACCCCACGACTCTACTTTTTCCCCTCCGTCTCCATTTTCAAAAGGCATCTGAACTTTAAAGCACATCTGCTCAGCTTTTCCATTCTCTCATCTAAATAAAGCAGCAGCCCAAGAAAGAAAAGATGTTTTTTAAAAGGCATTCTTGGGAAAAAAGCTAAAAAAGATGGGGGGATTATTGTCACACAATATATATATATCCTGCCCTGACACCAAAGAGCACAGCGGGGTCTGCATGGAGGTTACTGTGTTTTATTGGGGCTTAAGGTAAAAAAAAAATTAAAAAGGGACGCGGGTGGCGCTGTGGGTTAAACCACAGAGCCTAGGACTTGCCAATCAGAAGGTTGGCAGTTCGAATCCCCACGATGGGGTGAGCTTCTGTTGCTTGGTTCCTGCTCCTGCCAAAAGTTCGAAAGCATGTCAAAGTGCAAGTAGATAAATAGGTACCACTCCAGCGGGAAGGTAAACGGTGTTTCCGTGCGCTGCTCTGGTTTGCCAGAAGCGGCTTCGTCATGCTGGCCACATGACCCAGAAGCTGTACGCCAGCTCCCTCGACCAATAAAGCGAGATGAGCGCCGCAACCCCAGAGTCGGCCACAACTGGACCTAATGGTCAAGGGTCCCTTTACCCTTTAAGGTTAAAATGATAAAGGACCCCCAACCCCTGGACGGTTAAGTCCAGTCAAAGGGGACTATGGGGTTCCGGCACTCATCTCATTTTCAGGCCGAGGGAGCTGACGTTTGTCCACAGACAGCATGACTAAACTGCTACTGTCGCACGGAGGGCAGTGACGAGTGCCAGAGCGCATGGAAACGCCGTTTACTTTCCCGCCGCAGCAGTATCTATTTATCTACTTGCACTGGTATGCTTTCAAACTGCTAGGTTGGCAGAAGCAGGGACCGAGCAACGGGAGCCAGGTCAAAATTCCAGCCTTAGCTATACTAAGTAAAAGCCCATTGATTTTACTGGGCTTACTCCAAGTTTGAATCCAGCGCCAGGTTTCTCTAGCTCTAAGTCCAATGTACCCACAGTAATTTTTTAAAAAAATTACTAGAAATTTCATCACAATAATTTTAACAAAAATACATCATCCACATTATTTTCCCCCCTCCATTTTTTTTCACTCCCCCCCTAAACAAAAAAACCCCAACCTCCCACCACTACCACCCCGGACTTTCCTCAGCTCCTTCCTCTGGTTTCTCAACACATCTTTCTGTCTGCATGTTGTAAAATTGTAAAGATCCTCAAATTTTCTATCTATATATTACAATAAAGAATTTGTGAAGCACCCACAGTAATTTTAATATTCTTTTAGAGTAGGGCTGTTCCCCACCCCCACCAACCTCTTCAAAAAAATATTAGCTGAACTAAGTTTCAGTCAGTTTATTAATCAAATAAATCTGCTTAGAATGATTGTTTCGAAGGAGCAAAGAATTGTTTACGACAATGTACATAGATGTCCATAAAAGCATCATACTGGAGCTCACATTTTCTCCCGTGTGAGATTGGAGAAGGACTTAACAATGATTGTTGTAGTAATAATACATTTATATCCCACAGTTAATAATGACTGTAGTCATTGTCATTGTTGTAGTAATACATTTATATCTGCGAAGAATGCCTTTAGTGAAAAGGTGAAATAGACATTTTGTTACAGTCCTAGTTTATATGTCTGTTTGTCTGTCTGTCTGTTTGTCTGTCTGTCTGTCTCTCCACATGTGTGTCTATGTACTCTCATCACAATATGAGGAGCTTGGGATTGTATTTCAAAAAGGAAACGTCTCGAACAAAAGCAACGTGGAGCCTTGTGGAGGTTTTGAAAGAACAAGTCGCTCCTTCCATGGAATGTTGAAGGAGCAAAACACTTTAATGCACATTGATTAAACATTTGGATTCAACTGTTCGATACCTCCCAGCATTTCATTATCAAAATGTTACCATCTGTGAAGCGGCAGACAAAATATAATAGCAAAAAATTTCTCATCTCCCTTGAATCTCATTTGGTGTGCCTTTTGTTCAGCAAGTTCATCAATAATCTTCTTTAAATAGTCTTGCTTGGCTGTTTTTCAACAGGCAAATGTTACCAGGCCCCCAAGCGCCTCTATCTCTCATCACAACAGCAATCTGAGACGGCGAGTCTGTGCACATTTACTTAGAAACAAACTCCACTGAACTCCAGAGGACTTGATCTTCAACGGCGCCCAGTATGTTTCCAAGTACAATTCACAGTGTTGGTGCTGACCTTTAAAGCCCTAAATGGCCTCGGTCCTGTATACCTAAAGGAGCGTCTCCACCCCCATCGTTCTGCCCGGACACTGAGGTCCAGCGCCAAGGGCCTTCTGGCGGTTCCTTCGCTGCGAGAAGAGAGGTTACAGGGAACCAGGCAGAGGGCCTTCTTGGTAGTGGCACCCGCCTTGTGGAACGCCCTCCCACCATTAAACAATAAACAACTACAGTGGTACCTCGGGCTACATACGCTTCAGGTTACATACGCTTCAGGTTACAGACTCTGCTAACCCAGAAATATTACCTCGGGTTAAGAACTTTGCTTCAGGATGAGAACAGAAATCGTAGGGGGGGCCACTAGGGGGCGCATCGGAAGATGGCTGACAATAACATCTCTCCGACCCACACGAGGTAATTTGGAGGCTATGATGGGAGTAATTAGCCTCCCTAACCCCCCCAGGACGGTGGGGGGGACTGCCCTTGCCTGCTGTGCCCTATACCACCCCCGAAATTGTGGGGATGGGGGCACTAGGCACAAAGCCCTCCTGTGGGATTCCGGCACTTCTGGACACCGTCCCTGATTCGCGCCACTAGCTGCAAGAACTTCAAAAGAAAACAATTTGGATAAAGGAATGCACATATTTCAAGGAAGGAGGGGAGTAAAGACTGCTATAGAAGAGATCTCTGATAAAACAAGACAAGAATAAAACATGAGAAGATACGCCAAGACACGGTATGGCAAATGACTGATGGGGGAGGGGGGGAAACTTTCCTTTCTTTTCTTATGTGATTAACAAGAATCCCCTCCCCTCACGAGTTACGAGTCAGAAATGTCGTTTTAAGGATTTAAGCTGTGGATTTAAGGCTGTGTGGAGATAAACTTTCGAACCAAAGCATGTTTTAAGAAGAGCGAGGAATGTATAAGAGCTTGGGAATGACGCAGTTAAAAATGCCGTTGCCATATTGGGAAGTTCTGTCGGAGGTCTTGAGTCTGGGAGGAGAAAGAGAGAAATAGAGCTGTTTATATATTGTGGGTGAAACTCCTCAGAGGGACTCAGGAGCGACAGTTGGCGAGATGGGAAGAGTGATGTTATCTATGAAGGCGATGATATATGGAAACCATCTCGATTTGAGGAATGGAAGAACGGAAAATTCACACAAGATTATTATTATTATTGGTGTTTATCGGCTTAAGGAGACTATCAGAAGAGATCATAAAGAAAAAAGAGAAAATATATAAACAAGATGTGATGTGGAAACAGCAAGATAAGACTGGATAGAATTATCAACTTTGTTTGGACTGATTTGGACATTAACGCAGTAGCAAGAAGATGATCAGAATCCCCCTTCGGATCTTGAAATATGGGTCCCCCCAACAAAATTTAAAATTTGGCTTTGTAATTCAGAACTTATGTGATGTGATTTAATTTGATTTGATTGGCCGGTTAATAAAAATTATTGTTTTTTAAAAAAAGAGAACAGAAATCGTGCTCCGGCGGCACGGCAGCAGCAGGAGGCCCCATTAGCTAAAGTGGTGCTTCAGGTTAAGAACAGTTTCAGGTTAAGAACGGACCTCCAGAAAGAATTAAGTACTTAACCCGAGGTACCACTGTATTTTACTTTTAAAAGACAACTGTTTAGGGAAGTTTTTAATGTCTGACGCTGTATTGTTTTTAATATTCAGTTGGAAGCCGCCCAGAGTGGCTGGGGAAACCCAGCCAGAAGAGTGGGGTATAAATAATAAATTATTATTATTGCTGTTGTTTCCAAGCACTGGCGGAGGAAGGGGTGTGTGGTGGGTGCGGCCTGCCCCGGGTGTCATCCCTGAGGGGCGGGGTTGACATAGCTACCCTGCCCACCTGGGATGCTAGCCCCGCCCCCGGGTGCACAGCTAGCTCCGCCTCTGCTTCCAAAAGGGCCTGGTGAAATCCAAGGATTTTATAAAACCGTCACAGTTGTGCAGCCAGCTTCCAGCAGCAGGTCATTCCCATTGGGTTGGACCCTGAAGGGGGAACAACAAAGGAATTTGAACCTTTGTCATTTTGTGTTTGGGACAAAGGCAAAGGTATCGCCCTGTTTGATTTTGATTGCTTTTTGTCTGGTTTGGTTTTGTGTCTGGGAAGATGAGTGGTATGGCCCTAAGTTGCGGTTATGTGTATTGCTTTCCCCCCTTACTTGTATGTTAGCAGTCAAAGGTCTGGTCAAGGTATGAGAGACTCACACTCCCTGCTGAGCTTCTGGTGCAGGACTTAAGACTTTTATCATTCCAGCAGGCACTGTCAGGTAGCACTTGGTTTTACAATACAGTGGTACCTCTGGTTAAGAACTTAATTCGTTCTGGAGGTCCATTCTTAACCAGAAAGTGTTCTTAACCTGAGGTACCACTTTAGCTAATGGGGCCTCCCGCTGCTGCTGCTGCTGCTGCTGCTGCTGCCGCTGCCGCTGCCGCCACTGCCGCACAATTCCTGTTCTCATCCTGAAGCGAAGTTCTTAACCCGAGGTACTATTTCTGGGTTAGTGGAGTCAGTAACCTGAAGCGTCTGTAACCCAAGGTACCACTGTAATTATTTATTGTTCTAAACATCAGGAACGTTTCTTTTGGGAAATGTCAGCCAGTCAAATAAACCACACACACACAAAATGAACTTTCCTTGGGCAACAGTTACATGTTTTTGAAGGTTTCCTCCATTAAAGGTAAAGGGACCCCCAGTCGTGGCCGACTCTGGGGTTGCGGCGCTCATCTTGCTTTATTGACCAAGGGAGCCGGCGTACAGCTTCCGGGTCATGTGGCCAGCATGACTAAGCCGCTTCTGGTGAACCAGAGCAGCGCACAGAAACACCATTTACCTTCCCACCAGAGCGGTACCTATTTATCTACTTGCTCTTTGACGTGCTTTCGAACTGCTAGGTTGGCAGGAGCAGGGACTGAGCAATGGGAGCTCACCCCGTCACAGGAATTCAAACCGCCAAGTCCTAGGCTCTGTGGTTTAACCCACAGCGCCACCCATGTCCCTGTGTTTCCTCCATTAGCAGGTGACAAATTTTTATTCAGCCGTGTGTATAAATAGCTCCATGTTTTTTCATGATGATTCATTTTTTTAACCAGCAATTGCTTTGCATGTTTTTATTGCAATGATTGGAACCCAACACTTGGTCGTTCCTTCAACTTCACATCTATATTGAGATTCGCAAAGGAATCGGCAATATTCAACTCTGCCTGCTTGCCGTTCCCAATGACGGATATGTAGATAGGATTAACATAACAGTCTGCCTTTTCCTAGTGCAGTTTGATCTTCCATGCATTTTTCATATTCTATTGTAGATAGATCATATCCTTCCGTTGCGCAAACTGATTGATTGCTGTTTCTCTCCAATGCACCCACACCCCCTTGGTGACTGGAGGGCGATAAATTATTGAAATAAAGACATTTAAAGATAGGGAAGTCCCCCTAGATCATCCGCACCCCTAACTGTACTCCCCTCCACCCTCCCAGCAACTCACAATTGCAATGAATTATTCTCAGCTAGTGTCTTGCTCTGCTTGCTTCCTGCAGAGTTATCATGCGCTGTGCAAGGTTGCTTTTCTCGTCTTTGAGATAGGTATGGCCCAGGGTTCCTTGTCTCTGCCTGCAGAGGCCAGCAGGAGCTGAGAATTATGAGAATTCTCTCCCCTCTGCTCACGGTCTGCTTCGCTCAGCAAAGTACAGCAAGAGGCAGAAGAACGCAGGATTTTAGTCACTGCAACTTCCTGAAGCTGTTTCCGCAGCAGAAGAAGTGGTTGCAGCTAAAATATGAGATCACCCGCCCTACCCCTACTGCTGCTCGCATCAGTAGATCCTTTTCGTGTGATAAAGGCTTTGAAACAAAATAAATTTAAAAATTCCTTCCAGTAGCACCTTAGAGACCAACTAAGTTTGTTACTGGTATGAGTTTTCATGTGCATGCACCAAATAACAAACTTAGTCGATCTCTAAGGTGCTACTGGAAGGAATTTTTTTATTTTGTTTCGACTACGGCAGACCAACACGGCTAGGTACCTGTAACTAAAGCCTTTGAAAAATTCCAAAATCCACATTAGGGCAATGCCTTTCTTGGGCCGGCCAAAATATCACAAATGGGTGTGCCAGCTTTTACCTTCCTCAAAATTCTTCTTCAAACCACTGGCTGAAGGTCACCTGAGCACTTGATGAAGAGTACTGGAGAATTCAAAAGCTTTCTCATTATTTTGGGATATACTTTATAAATTGGGTATTTTGCTATGGTGTGTGTGTATGTGCATGCGTGTGTGCGCGCGCGCATAGATAGATAGGTATGCACACATGTTATGCTTTTTGGACACTCCTTGACAGCATGGCTATGGGGGCTGTCACTAACAAATCCTGCATTTCAGGAGTGACCCTCATACTGCTGCTTTTCAAGACCCAACTTGGCCCTCTCCAAAGACTTTCTCCAGCATGTCAGAGCCTGAGACGCTTGGGAAGGAGCATTGTGATGTCATTGAGTGGGGCGTTGTGATGTCATGGGGCTGCCAACTCCTGAACATCTGGAAAATAATCCAAATCCAAACTCTGCAGAATAAATCATGCGAAACAGGAAAATCACACAGTTGTGCTTATTCAGGATGCAGAATCCAACTTCTCTTAATGCAGAATTTAGACTGATCGCCTGAATGAGGTTTTGTTTTGTTTTGGGTTTTTTATTGCCAAAATATACACACTGGCAGTGGAACGGGGGGTGGAGAGAGCGCATCGCCCCCAGCACCATGCCCCCGTGGGCAGCATGCCACACCCCCAGAATGAACACCATGCCCCTGGGGTGCGGGCCAGCCACGCCCCCGCCTGCTCTCCGCCCCCAGGGCCGGAGCATGCAGCTTTGCCACTGGATATACACCCTGCCCCAGACTCTCCGAGTGTCCCTGTTTTCCAGGGACGTCCCAGATTCACAGAAGCCCTCCCGGTTTCTGATTTGATCCCAGAATGTCCCGCTTTTCCTTAGGACGTCCCTATTTTCACCGAAGAAACGTTGGAGGGTACCCTTCCCTACCTGCAGCCCCCATCCCCAGGATCAGAGCAACTCCACCGATGGCTGACAAATAATTTCTTCCTTGCCCCCTTTTGGAGAACAGCTCAGCCAGTCACCAACAGAAGCTTCGTCCAATGGAATATCGCCATGCATCATAACAGAGACAAAGACTGGCAGCAGCCCACAGTGGCTGTGCTAACCTGTGACCCTCCAAACATTGCTACTCCAATTCCCATCAGTGCCAGCCAGCATGGGCAATGGTCAGGGATGATGGGAGTTGTAGTCATGCATCCCTTGGCAGGCCACACCTTCGCTGCCCCACCCTTCAGACATCAGTGGCTTTTCATTCTTCTCCAGCTACGCTCAGAAGCTGCCAGGTACATTTCCAACGATACCACTGGTGATGCAACTCTGCAGAACTAAAATGCAGAACATGAAACCTTGGGCTTTGTTACAAGGGGTTTCTCAAAAGGGCTTCCTTGCTCTCCGATCCATTATGGCCAGGCTGCCCTCTGGGATCTCCTGAAACTCCCTCCTTCCTAATGGAAGCTAATGCAGCATTAGCTAATGGGGTGATTTAATTAGGTCTAAATGCTTGGGTTGGTGGAAGTTGCCCATCCTCCACAATTTGCTGGGCTCTCAGAGATAATGAAGAAGCATTTGCCAGGAGGGATCCCTGCCTGTCTGAGACCTAGTGCTGCAGCAGCCAGCCACTGGTTGTGGTTTTGGTACTTGCATGGCCATATAAGAAGACAGGAGTTCCTGGCGTGCTCTGGTCTATGTGGTCACAAAGAGTCGGACATGACTAAACCACTAAACAACAACAATGGCCATATAAATTGTAGAGTTGGAAGGGCCCCCGATTGTCATCTATTCAAAAGCCCTACAATGCAGGAATCTCAAAACAGATGGAGTCTAGTGCCCAGATCAAGGGGAGTAATAAAAGGTAAAGGGACCCCTAACCGTTAGGTCCAGTCGTGGACGACTCTGGGGTTGCGTGCTCATCCTGCTCTATAGGCCGAGGGAGCTGGCGTTTGTCCGCAGACAGCTTCCAGGTCATGTGGCCAGCATGACTAAGCCGCTTCTGGCTAACCAGAGCAGCACTACTTGCACTTTGACGTGCTTTCAAACTGCTAGGTTGGCAGGAGCAGGGACCGAACAATGGGAGCTCACTCCGTCGTGGGGATTTGAACCGCCGACCTTCTGATCGGCAAGCCCTAGGCTCTGTGGTTTAGAGTGGCACTCTATTCTGCCTTGGTCAGACCACAGCTGGATTACTGTGTCCAGTTCTGGGCGCCACAATTTAAGAAGGATGTTGACTGTGGGATTGTTAACGAAGGTAGGAGAGGGTTTATTCTTTGGGTATTATCCCTCCACATTCATGCTAGTGAGTAAACAGCAGAGCACATTCCCTTTGCAACTTATTGGAAGCAAGTTGATGGTTCATTAGAATCTTTTAATTAAGCAATCCAGTCTGGATTGTTCCTGGTAACTTTCCCTGTATTCCTCTCTTAAAATATGACAGGAAGTCCTCCCTGTCTGGAGCCACATTCCTCTGTGTGTCCATTCTAGGCAACAGGAAACTGTTGTACTTGAATGCTCTAGTAATAATACATCCCACATGGACAAGCTGGAACGTGTGCAGAGGAAGGCAACTAGGATGGTCAAGGTTCTAGAAGCCAAGCCTTATGAGGAACGGTTGAAGGAGCTGTGTATGTTTAGCCTGGAAAAGAGGAGAGAAAGAGGAGACATGATAGCCATCTTCAAATATCTCAAGGGCTGTCCCATGGAGGATGGAGCAAGCTTGTTTTCTCCTGCTCTTGAGTAGGACTCAAACTAATGGCTTCAAGTTGCAGGAAAGGAGATTCCAACCAAGCACACAGAAAAACTTTCTTATAGTAAGAGTTATTCGATAGTGGAATGGATCTCCCTTGGGAGGTTGTGGACTCTCCTTCACTGGAAGTTTTTAAGCAGAGGTTGGGTGGCCATCTGTCAAGGATGCTTTAGCTGAGATTTCTGCATTTCAGGGGGTTGGACTAGATGATTCTTGGGTTCCTTCCAACTCTAAGATTCTATGATTCTATGTGACAGCCCTTCAGATATTTGCCTGATTCTTAGGAGAAAAGCAATGACAAACCTAGACAGCATCTTAAAAAGCAGAGACATCACCTTGCCAACAAAGGTCTGTATAGTTAAAGCTATGGTTTTCCCGGTAATGATTTGTGGAAGTGAGAGCTGGACCATAAAGAAGGCTGATCGCCAAAGAATTGATGCTTTTGAATTATGGTGCTGGAGGAGACTCTTGAGAGTCCCATGGACTGCAAGAAGATCAAACCTCTCCATTCTGAAGGAGATCAGCCCTGAGTGCTCACTGGAAGGACAAATCCTGAAGCTGAGGCTCCAATACTTTGGCCACCTCATGAGAAGAGAAGACTCCCTGGAAAAGACCCTGATGTTGGGAAAGATGGCGGGCACAAGGAGAAGGGGACGACAGAAGACGAGATGTTTGGACAGTGTTCTCGAAGCTACCAGCATGAGTTTGACCAAACTGTGGGAGGCAGTGGAAGACAGGAGTGCCTGGCGTGCTCTGGTCCATGGAGTCACAAAGAGTCGGACACGACTAAATGACTGAACAACTACAACCATATCTCCTCTCACTCTCCTCTTTTCCAGGCTCAACATAATGCAGATTTGGTCCGGCAATGGGCCTGGTGCCTGAAGCAGCTCCCCATAGAGCAGGGGATCCTACAATCTTCCATTCTGCGGACATGGCCAACCCATCAGAGACAATTTAGCAGGAAGTATTTCAACTCAGTTTGCTTGAAGCCCGAGTTCCTGTAATGGAGGCTCTCTCTGCTTGCAGCTCCAGGCTGAAGCAGAACCTCCTTTCTCAGGTGCAGTCTACCATTCTTACATCAAAAGCTGGGTGTTGGAAGCTGCAGATTGGTCTACCTATATCTTGTGGCCGTCCCATAGTAGGAAACAATGGGAGACGTTACAGAAACGAAGAGTGCTGTTGTCTAGGCACAGAACACATCTCTCATTAGTGTCAAATTGTTCGCATGCTAAAAATGAGAAACACTTTGCTTAATGAGGAGCCCTTAATAGGTGTTGGGCTTTGCACTAAATTATCATATTAACCACAAGATCATTATCAAGTGTTTCCTTAATGTGCCACAATACCACAGCCTCGTTGTGTGTAAGTCGTCATGCCATCACGAAGCCTGACATATATTTTTTTAACCACCTTAACCAGAGAGGGAAGGAAGGGCATAGACTGAAGAAAGCCATGAGCTTTCCTTGTTCTGCAGAAGCAGATGAACTATTTTAATCACCAGCCTCATTATTCTTTATTTGTTTAATAAAATTTATTACAACGCTCGACTGTAAAATTGGTTTACGAAAAAGACAAAACAATAAAATTATCAATGAGGAAAACTAACAGCAATAATTTAAAACTTTCAGAAAGTTAAAATAACAACAGACTAAAAAGAGATTCGGCCCCTTTTTCCAAGTAATGACACCTGCTACTGTTGTACTTTGAATTACGTTTAATACATGTGGAAAAACAATAGCATACAGTGGTACCTCGGGTTAAGTACTTAATTCGTTCCGGAGGTCCGTACTTAACCTGAAACTGTTCTTAACCTGAAGCACCACTTTAGCTAATGGGGCCTCCTGCTGCCGCCGCACCGCTGGCGCCCGATTTCTGTTCTTATCCTGAAGCAAAGATATTAACCCGAGGTAATATTTCTGGGTTAGCGGAGTGTGTAACCTGAAGCATACCGTATTTTTTGCACCATAACACTCACTTTTTTCCTCCTTTAAAGTAAGGGGAAATGTCTGTGCGTGTTATGGAGGGAATGCCTACGGGTGGCATGCCTACGGATTTTCCTCCTCTAAAAACTATGTGCGTGTTATGATCGGGTCCGTGTTATAGAGCGAAAAATACGGTATGTAACCTGAGGTACCACTGTACATTTACAAAGTAATAAACAGTTTAAACATACAAAAATTAAAAAGCAAAAAATTAACGATTTTAAACTTTCAAAAAGTAATAATGACAATGGGACAGCTGATTATTCCTGCATTGCAGCGGGTTGGGCTAGATGATCCTCAGGGTCCCTTCCAACTCCACAATTCTATGATCCTTCTATGATGGCTACTAGCCTTGATAGCTATGCTCTGCCTCCTGGAAGCTCAAGAGGGGAGAGTGTGGGTTTCCCACAGGCAGCTGGTTGGCCACTGTAAGAACAGGGTGCTGGACTAGATATGCTATTGGCCTGATCCTGCAGGTTCTTATGAATGAAGAAACCCAAGAGAAAGAGTGGGTGTGACACCCCAAGATACCCCAAGAGCCAATGGCCATTGAAAGAAGACCTTGGGTGCTCATTTTGACCCAACTAATACAAAGATCAGGACGTGGGTGGTTCTGTGGGTTAAACCACAGAGCCTAGGGCTTGCTGATCAGAAGGTCGGCGGTTCCAATCCCCGCAACGGGGTGAGCTCCCGTTGCTCGGTCCCTGCTCCTGCCAACCTAGCAGTTCGAAAGTACGTCAAAGTGCAAGTAGATAAATAGGTACCGCTCTGGTGGGAAGGTAAACGGCGTTTCTGTGCGCTGCTCTGGTTCGCCAGAAGTGGCTTAGTCATGCTGGCCACATGACCTGGAAGCTGTACGCCGGATCCGTTGGCCAATAAAGCGAGATGAGCGCCGCAACCCCAGAGCCGGCCACGACTGGACCTAATGGTCAGGGGTCCCTTTACCTTTAAGCTGCTTGTTCGCCAGGATAAAGAGGAATGGCCCAAATTCTCCAGACTGCAAACAGGCCAGCTACCTGCAATTGGCACATCTAGACCGTTGCCAGAGGCACAGAAGGAGGATGCAAACTGTTATAAACAAGGCAGGATACATCCAAAGTTGGGGGGGGGCGTGTCCAACCACAGCTTTCCTCAGAACGTCTCTCGCCACCATGCAAGCAATTGCTGGAATATCCTGCTTGCCTTTTGATTACAGCCCCGGAGCGATCAAATTCGTTTCATTCCATTCTTAAGAGTTCCATTAGTCCGCCAATATACCTTTTAAATTAAACTCAGCCTTTATGTCTCTGGGGAGATTTGGGCCAGGCGTAAGTTATTGCCAGGGAAGGAGAGTGGCAGAGAACAAAGGAATCAAGAGTTTCACAGCCCGGTGCTGGCGGCCAACCTCTGTCATAAGGCACCAGGTGAGAATTTTGGGATGGCACAGCAAGATTTTTAAGAATGGCCAAAGGTATTTTGCCCTAGCAGTGCACCTGCAAGGCTATTGCCAGGGGAATGAT